ACAAAGGAGGTACTAAAGGAACAACAGCAAAAATCCTCACAGAAGGCAGCTAAAGCTAATTTCAGACCAAATCATTCTTAAATCTATTAGAATTATTGTGACGGTTTTTCATGCCAAGTTTATGGCCCAGAAACCGAAGCGTCAGAGCTATATTGAGCACAGATCTAGAAATCTGGAGACTGTGAAAAAATATAGAGAGAGAGCAGATTGAAGAACCCTGAATTCAGTATCTGGCATATAGTAGGTACTCAGAAAATGTTTTGAGGGAATGCTCACATTAGCGGTGTAATAGAAGTTTTGAACAGGAAGAATGAGTAAATCTGTAAGCCCCTGCCCCCCGCCACTCCATAGTTGACCTGCTCGCTGTGGGCACTTTCAAACATTTTTGTGGTATTTGTAACCATCTGTATGCTTATGGCTCCCAAGAATGTAACAGTCCCCTAACTTTCAGATTCTTAAATCCAAGTGTCTATTGAATTTGTTCAGTTGTGTGTTCCACCAGCATCTCAAACCCAGTCTTCCAAAATGAAGCTTTTTATTTCTTCCTCCAAATATACTCCTTCTCTTATATTTTCATAACTTAGTTATGTGCACCACCCAAGGCAGTAACTGAGTGGCATTTTACACTTCTCTCTCTTAAATTCATCAGTAAATCCTACTCATTTTACCTCCTTTATATTTTTGAAACCGTTCTCTACTTTTCATCCATATCAATACCGCAAGGAATTTTCTCATCATCTCTCACAAGAACCATTGCAACAGAATGAGTCTATCCCTAGTTTTGTTCCCTTAAATCCATAGTCTTTTATCTCAATGTCAACTCTAACCACATTTTTTTTTCCCTTGGCTTGAAGATCTCACAGTGGACTCTCACAGCCTACAGTATAAATTCATCCATGAGCTACCTTTTAGGTCCCTCTCCATCCACACTGTGCGTTTTTACCTTGTCTCATTTTACTTGATTACAGTAAAAAATACCAAGCACTGTTTCCCCATACACACCATGCTACTAAGCCTCTCCATGTGTTTGCTCTTGATATTTCTTCTGCCTGCCTACCTGTCTTTTCACACTGCATCTGTGATCAACCTTCAAGATTTACCCTAGGACCGTCCCTCATCAAGGTTTTTCCTGCTATTCTAATATTGGTTGGGAGTCCTTCTTGTATTTGTTTCTATAATAAAACTTCTCACATCATTTAAAAATTATCCATTTACATTTCATCCTCCCACTCTAGACAGTGAACTTATCGGTGCCACAGGGTTACTCACGTGCTCCTTATCACAGTGCCTTGCACGTGGAGCATTCAGTAAATGGTTTGAAAGCTGTAAGTTCAACATATGTAGTGCATCTATTGGAACCCAAGTGAGGGAACACAATTGACTGCCTATACTAGATCCTCCACTAGCCATCCTTATTAACCCTGTTACTTATTTGCAAAATGAGGCCAAGGTGAGAAAGGTGAATAATAAGCCTTCACGGTTTTGTTTCTAAAATTACTGATATTGTTACTTACAGGGAAGTCGAATGGAAATAAGATGAGCTTTGCAATCACAGAGGCATATTTTCTTATCCTGGGTTCCCCACCCATAAACAGTGTGAGCTTGGGCTTTCCAGCATGATCCTCAATGCCTGCCTTTTTGGCATGAGGATAATAGCACTTATTTTGTAAGGCAGTTTTAAGAATTGAGGATAATATACTGAAAAGAACCTGGCACATTCAATATTCTATTATTCTTATTTCTATTATGACTTTGAAAGTAGTTACAAAGCATTTTATTTGAAAGTTGAGTTAATATTTGTAAAGCACTTCAAACAGCGCCTCACAAGTATGTGTGTATATCTGCGCATACAGGTGCACAATCTATGTTTAGTAAGTGCCTAAAAGATACATGAATTTACTATATAAGAGAAATAATTTTGATTGATATTTTATTAGCTATAAACTCTGAAAAGCTTCAACTATTATATTTTTTAATTTTGTTTTTTATTGAAGTGTAGTTGATTTACAATGTTAGTTTCAGGTATACAGCAAAGTGATTCAGTCATACATTTTTTTTTTCAGATTTGTTTCCATTATATGTTATCATAAGAAATTGAATATAGTTCCTTGTGCTATACAGTAGGACCTTGTTGTTTATCTAATTTATATATTGTAATGTGTATCTGTTAATTCCAACTTCCTATTTTATCCCTCCCCTGCCCTTTCCCCTTTGGTAACCATAGTTTGTTTTCTATGTCTGAGTCTATTTTTGGTTTGTAAATAAGATTTGTATTATTTTTTTGGATTCCACATACAAGTGATATCATATGATATTTGTCTTTCTCTGTCTAACTTACTTCACTCAATATTATAACCTCTAGTTTCATCCATGTTGCTGCAAATGACATTACTTTATTCTTTTTTGTCTGTTTTTTTAATATTCCATTATATATGGCTGTGTAATATTCCACCATATATATATATACATATATATATATATATATTCCACATCTTCTTTATCCAGTCATCTGTCAATGGACATTTAGGTTGTTTCCATGTCTTGACTATTGTGAGCTTCAACTATTTTTAACTGACAGTTCTATATTTCTGAAATAAACCCAAATAGAAAGAATTGTGCATCTGCAGCAGGGACTATAAAAGCATTATTAGTTACTTTAAACAGCACATGATAGGTGAGTGGAATAATGAATGAGTGAATGAATGAAAATGTAGTCTATTTAAGTGTCTGGTAAACATAGTTGAGATGTAATTATAGTTATAGACAGGCAGGAAGGGTTCCATCTAAAGCAAAGGTGAGCTTCCCAATCTGCAAATGATATTGATTTTTATCTTGCTATGCATACAAGAACTACTTGAAAGTTCCATAAAGTCTAATGTATCTCTTGCTTTATTGGAATAAGTTGGGATTTGTATTTTTTGTTTTGTAGAATCTTTTACCAAAGGAGGTTGGGTTATGATAGAATAGAATCATTCTGTTTAGGATCTGTTTCATAAGTAAGGGTACCTGGAAGAGAGAGAGAGAGAGTGTGTGTATGAGAGTGTGAGAGACTGACAGATAGTTATGAATATGAAGAGTGTAGATGTCCTAAAATATCTGTGAAAAGACTTAAATTAACTGGAGATTAATCTAACAGAAGATATTCAAAAATACTTTAAGGATCCCTTTTTAAGGAACTAGATTACCATGAATAATTCTATTATTCTGTTAATAGACAGTAATGTTCTTTTAATTTAAGCTATAGAGCAGCATTCTGATTGTGCAACCCAGTCCACAAGTAAGCACAAAATATTTTCTATTGAAATGTGGAACGTCCCTCAATGGTGGGTACTTCACAAGAGAGCCTCTTCGAAGGGGTTTTCTTTGGTGAAACAAAGGCTGCTCAGTCTGGTTTGGTCGGATGCTGTACCTTCTCTAAGAAAGTTTCTTTCCTCTCTTCTCTCTGGCCTAGAGCTAAAGCTACTTTGTACATATTATCTTCTCCCCTTCCTTCTCCCACTAGACTGTGAGCTCTAGGAGGCAGGACCTGTGGATTATTTATCTCTATATCCCCAGGACAAAAGCCCTTTGCCTAGAATTTAGTCCACTGAAGAAGGTAATCCATTCCATCCATTTTGCTTGATGTAATAAGCCGTTTCACTTTCACTCAAATACTACTTTCAACATCTTAGAAGAGAGAAAATTTAGGAGGAAGGTCTTTATCCCAGGACAAAGAATGATTTTAATTTTATTGCATTCTGTCTTATCTAATATTAATTTTGAGACAGCAGGAAAAGAAACTTTTTTTAAAAAGTGACTCTATCAAGGGTAAACAAATCTTCTGACAGTAAGTCTAGTAAGGCACTTGCTCCCTCCCTGCTGAATCCCAGGGAAGTGGATGGCACAGCTTGAGAGCAGGCTCCAGGTTTCGAAGGGGAAAAGGTAATAAAGGTCCTAACCCTTAAGACTCTTGGACCCCTGCAAGCTCGACTGACTACTGTTCTGTACTGACTGGCTTATGATTTTGGTCCAGTCAGTTAAGTAAGTCTCTGTATCTGCATTTGGCAAATGGGGAGAACAGTGCCTCTTTACCCCACAGGCTTAAACTGATGAATAAAAATAAAAAGAGAGATTCTTTCTGTGAAAGTGCGTTGGCTCTGAAAATTGTCGTACAAATAAAAGGGCTCATCCTGATGCACCACGTAGCAGACAAACGTTGGGAATCTCACCGCTTACCTATGGAACATCTGTCTAATACTTTCCAGGTGTGGCGAATTGCCAATTCCTGTGAAAACTGCCGGAGGCGCCCTCCATAGGGCCGGCAGCCAAATACTGAATGTCAGACGTCAGCTTGATGGTTACAGAAACCTCTCACAGCCAAGGACCTCGCTTTTCTCTTTGGGCATCACCAGTCTCTACAGTAATGCTCAGACATAGTCCCTCTCTATGAAGGTTCATTAATGATAAGAATGACTTCTTAAACTGGAAGGCAACACATTATAATGGCTAAAGGTGTAGGTTCTAAACTCAGATCCCCATGTTCAAAATCCTTGGTCAGTCTTCTTAATCCTTGTAATCTTGGGTTTCTGCTTCTTTAAAATGGATATAATCATAACAGAAGCTCTGCCTCGAGTTGCTGCCAGGACTCCATTTAGGCAAAGTTCCAGCACCATGTCTGGCACATGGTAAACATGAAATGAATTCTAATTTATCAATATTCACCTTTTTCTTAGATGCTAAGAATTACATTCCTTTTACCATTGACCATTAAATGTGATCAGTAGGCAATGCAAAAGGGTAGATCACACGTGGCTTAACCAAGAAGTGATAACACTGCCCCCCACTGTTATCCACACACCATCACAGTCATCTGCAGTATCACAGGTCAGACATCGCAGGGAAAGCAGGAACCCTCTTGGGGCGTGGGGCCATCTTCCGCAGCCCCAGCTCTCCCCAAGTCCAGCCAGTTAAGCACACAATCACATCTTTCTGTTTGCTCCTGTCCTGTTCATGCTCACCAGGTACAAAGACAGGAGACTGGCCCAGCACAAGTCGGAAATAGAGTGTTTCACCCCCAAAGGGAGTATGGGGAATGGTGGGAGAGCGACAATGAGCAGGTAAGCAAACTGTGAGTGGCCTGAGGTGGTGTGAACTAAATGTCTGCAAGCCGCAGGAGCAGGTGGCTCCCTGGGCCGGGTCCTACTCAGCTGTGCCTCCCATACAGTGTGTCCCCCGTGGGCCACCGCTGGGTTTCTGTGTGTGTTTGACTTGCAAAGCTCATGCCGTCCTCGTGTACAGTGATGGGACGCTGCTGCTCCCCAGGGCTGTGTGCTTTGCATGTCTGAGGCCTCAGCTCACAGTCCGCTCCCCTGTGGATTTTAACTGACTGGTCAAACGCTTCTGCGGAGTTTGCAAAGTGGAAGAGATTGGAGGAAATTCACATTTCAGGACTGTCTGATCGCTTAACAAAACAAATGCAAAAAGCCTAGGACTGGATTTGAGGGAAGGTCTGCAGCCGAGGGAAGACTCCCACCTTGATGCCGGGCAAGCCTGGGAATTAATCTGACTTTGAATGTAAAACGCCATCTCACAGCCAAGGGCAAATGCTCTGCCAAACTGGTGAACTGTAGAAGCAAGAGGCCTTTCGTGACCTGAGATCAGGAAAGCTGGTCCTCCTCTAGCTACCGTAGCTTTGCAGCTCCTTTCCTTCTCTGTGTCTGGCGGGGGACACCCTCTGTCGCTGTGCTGTGCATGTTCCTTCATAACAAGCACTCCCAACCAAGCTGTGCCCAACCGGGGGTAGCTGGAACTCTAAGCATCAGCTGAGCCGTGTTGCATGAAATAAACGTGCTTTATTGCATGGGATGGGGTTTCGAGAAAAGGGCTCTGGAGATCAAGGCTTCCAAGACTGGCATTAAACAGTTCCAGGAGGCTGGAGAAGCCCTGAGTTGGGAGACCATCCCCCATGAACTCACTCTCCACCTCTAATTTGCTGTGGTATTTCCCAATCTGCCTGTGGTACAGAGGTGTGGAGGGGAAGCTCTTGCAAATCAGCCTGGATTAAAGG